AGACTGATTCATCTCATCATCTCAGATGGGCATAAAGTTAGGTCCTCCTGCAACAGAATTTCCCAGAGTTCCTCTATAGCGGCCTGGGGAAAAGTAACTCACCTATTTTAGATCCAGATTTTGTGCGCCCTCTGGAGTGGGCACCATCTCTTCCTTCTTTTGGTGGGAGTCTGGACAACCAGCTCAGACCAGCTGTTAAAGGGTGGGATCTGGGAGTGAAGAAACTCAGATGATTGAACAAGAAACTCAAAGACTTGCGCCTGCAAAGCACTCTGAACTCTCATTGAAATTTTGCACAAACCATTACCCTTCAACATTGTTTCCTAAACCTGAGAAGATACCAAACATTAAAAGACTAGGCTGAATCATGCACACTTAGTTCTTGGGGGATTAAACCTTGTTTTTTTGACATTTAATGATCTATCCTGTTACATATTTTTAAAATAAAATTGCAAAAATTATGAAGGAAAATGCAAAAATATCCAAATATTGCAACATGCTTATAGATGTCATATTGGAGATCTCAAGAAATCCAAGGTTTCTAGATTTGCAGTCACCATTAAAATAAGATCATGAGACCAGCAATTTAATGCATGACATATACATCAACATGAAGTACTATACTAGGAAAAATTAGGACCAGCTTCAGAGATACTTTTTACACACAGCATTGGCTGCAGGCTTAGTCTGCCAGTAATATCAAATTATTTTTCTCTGTGACTGACTCCGCAGATGACAGTTTTCAGTGTCTGTATGCTGCATTGCTAGTTACTATCACTGAAATGTAGGAGCTTCCAAAAACATAAAATTGATAACCACAAAAAAAAAAACCCACATGAGAGATGAAAACACAACTGAGAGAGACTAATAAAATTTCAGTTTCCATCTTCCTGACCCATTCACTTGCTGCCTTAGGCCATCCTTTCATGGTTAAAATATAGGGAGATATTTACCTAGTGTTCACCTGATTATCTTGAAGTTATTTTTTAACCACAGTAGTGTCTCAACCCTGTAAAAGACCAACATGTAAAAATATCCTATGCAGGTCTTGAATTCTTTGCTATTGCAGTTTAAGAAAATTTTGGCAATATTTTAGCAGCCTGCTTTATCAGTGAGTTTCAAATAGTTGGAAATTATCTGGTTTCAATACAGCACCTAGATGCATCTCCACACTGAAAGCATTTTTGGTCCAAGGCAGATTAAGGTTTTAAACAGCCTTAGGCAGGGAAAAATACTGTGGGGGGGGATATATAAGAATATTCTGTAGTCTTAAACCACCCATTCTCTATCGCACAAATTTATGCAGAGAACACTTCTACAGCAACTGCTGAAAAATATCCAGAGCCAGTGAAAAAGAATGGAGAGTAAAATATTCTTTTGAGAAGTGGTATGACATCTGGTTGTTGCCATACATGTAATTACCACTCCTTTAGGAAAACTCCCCGCAGTATCACAGGCTTTACTCAGTCTCTTCTTCCTTCAGGGCTTCTGCCTTAGTTTTAACAGGTACTACAGATTCTGGAAATATCTATGTATGTAGGCTATCAACATCTTCTTCTTTTCATTCTTAAGGAGAAAATTGCAATGTCTCTTTCGTAAGAAATTAGCATTCCTAGTTAAACCTGTGCTTTCACAGATCTGGGATATTTCATGTAGGCTGCTGTTTATTGCAATTAAAACTCTCCAGAAATAAAGACCACAACTAATTTTGTGTTCCATCAGGATTCCTATTTCTCATTCTATCTTTCTTTGGGAAGCAAATGCAATGCTGTTTGCCACAATTTTTTCCTGTCTTTTATTTTTCAAAAGCAGGTAGTTCTGGTCTTAATTAATTAAGTCTCTTAACTGAAGCTCAGTCGGAATGACAAGATTCATTCATTCATTCATTCATTCATTCATTCATTCATTCATTCATTCTCTACTGCCATGATACACCTGCTCTCTCAGATGCTACCCAGTTCATGTGCCCTCCCACCCCTACTCCCCATCACCAAGGGTTGGCTCTGACCCTCCATATCTGGATAAAAACATGGTCTCCCATTCCTGACACTCCTATACATCATGTCAGGACTTTGGACAGACCTTCGGACAGGAGTGTGGCACAGCACCACCCTTTGCTTGTTCATCAGACACCTTAATAAACGTGGGAAAGTTCAGATAAAAAGTGATCCTCTGAACACTTCTGTTGTGTGCTGTGTGAAGTGCTCAGTTTTTCAACCAACTGTCATATTCTCATACTTGCCACAACGGTAGCACCCATTGTCCTGTAAGTTATTTCTTTCATGAACTTAGCATGGAATGATGCATTTCCCTGAAAAGAAATGGGAAGATGTGCATCATGCTTGCAGGAAAACTGCTAATTCTGCTGCTGATGGGGCAAGAAAATAGCATGTGTCTCAATTCTGGCACTAAGAAAGCTTACACACTGATTTTCTTTACAGTCCAGAAATTGTAACAACACTCCTAAACACAGATTTGGGTCTAGATTTGCAGAATTCATATTCTGAATTCAGAATACACAGTTCATGTATGAACTATGGCTCATAAATACAGAGTAAATAAATGCAGTAAATACATCTTACAGAAATACAGTTCATAAACACAAAATTCATAAAATTCATAGTTCCTATTCCCCCCCCCCCCCCCCCCCCCCCACCAAACAACTGTGTTCTGTCTGCAATGCTCATTTATACAGAACAATTGTGAAGAGGCCATGGCAAGGAGACTGGAACTCAAAATTCATGTTACCACCTAGACAGTGAATGCCCTCCATATTTGGGAGAGTCCGTTCCCTCAGGGAGTCGCTGTTGCTCCCTTTGGGAGCTTCCCTCGGGACAAAGCTTCCAAGAAATATTGTGCTAGAACAAACGCTGTATCTGTGAGTGTTTGTGCATCACTTTGTCAGGAATTGTGGGCAGGGAGTGCTGCAGCAGAACTGATGCTCTGGTGGGATCTGGCTTCTCTGATGTTGTAAATAAGGCTCTCCAAAATGTCCATTCTCCTGCCCTGGGGCATTTGGGGAAATTTGTCACCCCTTAATGCTGTGCACAACAGATCAACTGTCCTGTACAGTACATGGAGCAGATAACCCCAGACATGATCTGCGTGGCCCGGGGATCCATGTTTAGGAATGTCTTGCAGCAGCAGTGGATATGAGCTTTTATTCTATTCCATGTCCTGCTGTTAGGGCTCTGCTGGTGTCTCAAGAAATGGAATTGTCAGGATCTCAGCAGCAGCTAGAAGAAGTGCACCAACAGTGACACTGTAATCTAGGACTGGGGAATTCAGAGGACCTGAGAAAGAGACCAGATCCAGGAAAAGCCAAATACTTAAAGCTGAGCCACACCAGACCCCACCACCCATCTTAGAACCAGTGTCACCAGGAAAACACCTCAGAAGTTAGCATTTGGAGATTCTTTAATGAGAGATGCAGCAGCACCTGTTTGACAGCCAGGAAATATGTCCAAGTTAGTTTGCTGCACAGCAGGAGCTCAAAAACATGATAACCCTGATATGATATGAACTTGCTAAACACTTGAATTTATCATTCATTCCTACTCTGCAATGCAGGATCTAAAGATGCTGTGATAAGGCAACTTAGAAACATGAGAGACCATATGGGCCATGAAGACATCACAAGTACAGGTCATGTTGTCCCCTAACCTCCAAGTCAAAAGTGGTCAGGAAGCAGGAAATGAACTGAACAGAAAATGCCAGATAAATTAGGTAATACTCAAGTTTTTGACCTCCGTGGATCCAGATATACTGTGCAGATGCTATTGGAATTGGATGGCATTCACCTGACCTCATACTACAGGCAAAAAGAGGGGAGGATGTGGGACTCAGCAAGGAAAGGGAAATCCGTGGGCAGCAAGAGTCCTCCTGTCAATGGTCTCCTTGGTGCAGCAACCATTGAAGACCATGGTGGCTACAAAGACGATTTTCTCCCTGTGTTCCCCTTGCACTCTCAGTGCTGGCCACTTCACGTGAGCTATGAAACTCCCTGGAAGCTCTGGTTGGGCAGACAAAACAAGAGGCACCACCGCTGTGCCTCCATGTTTACTGGGAGACAGTGAAGATCCTGCTCATCCCAGACCCTCTCTGGGGCTTTGGCACCGCAGAAAAGAACTTATCGGACACGTAGAACACTGTGTTCTGTCGGCAGCAGGAGTTGCCCACTGGGAATCACCCCCCACATCTGCCCATCATCCCTGGAAAATATCTCTATGGAGTCAAGGTCCTCTCACAGCAGCACAGCAGGAATAGAGATCCTGCCATGGAGAAGCCCCATGTCACCACCAGGATATTCAGCACTACACACCCAGGGTGCCACTTAGGTCCCAAGACCGCCCCCACAAGCACACAGGTCAGCACCAAGGGAACTGGTTCCATCTCACAGCAGGAGATTTCCAGGAACAGAGCATTCCTGGGTCATGTCACCCAATTTCAGATTGAAAAGGGTTCGGGGGGAGGGGGGCGGTGTTTCTGCCTATTTTCTCAAGGGAACCCCTGGGAGGTTCTCTTAGGACCCGTGCGACTGCTCTTCCAGGGTATCAGGCCTTTGGCTGCCCGGGGCCATTAGGAGTCCCAGAGCTGAGGTCGAGATGGAGGGCGGGGCTGGCCTGGCCGGGATGCACCGTGGCACCTGTGACATCACAGCCCCAGTGTCACAATGGGGGCAGCTATCAACCGAAGCAGCAAGGGGCGCTGCCCCAGTACAGCCTCGGCGAGCGGCGAGCGTGCACGCAGACAGGAGGCTGTGCTGAACGCTGAACGAGGGCACGGCAGAAACGCGAGTACCCGGGGAGCCGCTTCTCACCGGGCACCCAGAGGCCGGTCCCATGCAGGAATGTCTTTGGCAGGGCACAGTGCTGCGGCTGAGGCAGCAGCACAGGCCCCCGCTTTCCTGCCATCAGATCCCTTGGGCTTCTGTCCCCACTTCCCCTATCTCCCTACGTCCCTCCCATCCCCACTCAGCCCCTGCTCAACTCCTTAAGGCCATGCTTGCCATCACGTTCCTTTTCTTGCTTGCGCAAGCCCTCTTCCAGTACCCGCAGCAGGTCGGGGATGGGCTGGATGAAGCTGTGCTGGAGCGCATGCAGCAGCGTGCCGAGTATCTGAACCAGCAGATGACTCAGCTCATTCTGGAGCTGGAGCAGATGAAGCTGGATCAGAGCAGTGGGGTCTGGCTTGTGTGGCAGTTCTCGGCTCTGACTGGAATCCTCGTCCTACTCTTGGCGCTGCGCTATGGACTCAAGAAAATTAGATGCGATCCAGACAACAGTGGCCACAAGGAGAGGTCCAGCAGCAACTTGGTGGAGGAAGAAGAAGAAGAAGAAGAAGAAGAAGAAGAAGAAGAAGAAGAAGAAGAAGAAGAAGAAGACAAAGGACATGATGTAGCTGCAAAGGAAGACACAGAAAGCAACGATGCAAATGTGGAAGAGGACAATAAGGATGGAAACGAAGAAGACAGCAGCCTTGATGCAAAGTCAGAAAGCAGTGTTGGACATGAAGCAGAAGAAGGCTATGATGATGCAAAGGAAGAAGTAAACTATGATGAGGAAGTGGAGGAAGTCAATGCTGCCGGAAACGGAGAAGACAAAGGTGATGCAAACGAAGACGATGACTACAGTGTCAAAGGAAACCCTGGAAGGCTTTCAGAGGAGTGCATAGAGTTGTCCCTTCTGGATCTGGACAAAGGCTGCTCCGTGGTTATGGACCTTATGGACAAATTCATACACCTCTCTAGACAATGCTTGTGTGACAGCTTCTATCCGGTGCTACAACAAGCCATCGGAGTGGGAAGTGCCTTTGAAGGCTGGAGTCTCCGCACACAAGATGTTGTGTACCGCATGCTTGTACCCCTGAGTCCTCCTCCAGGACATGCCTTCCACCTGGAGCTGGACACTGCAGGGAAGCTCCAGAGGAACTTCTGTGTCCGTGTGGAGCTGCTGTGCACCTGCATGAGGGAGAGGCTGGGGGAGCACATGCTATGTTTCCTCCACCACCCTGAGGAGGAGCTGAGAAGGAAACAGAACCCCAGCCTGCTGCACACCCTCTGCACTGGCTCCTATCTAGATGTGGAGAAAACTGTCAAGTGGTTCTATGAATTCATGAGACAAGCCTGGATGATTTTGCCTCAGTCCTGCCACTGGAGTTTAATGTTGCAGCCCTGCGGCCGCACCTGTAAATTTCACATAAGCAATGACAAGGAAACCTTCATGGTTGAGCTGATCTTTGGAGTGCAGCAAGGAAGCTCAGATATCTTTGTGGGCAGCCAGCCTGCAGAAGTAGGCATCCCAAGCACAACGTGGTTTGAGACTTATGCCGTGGCAGAGGCAAAATTCTTCAGGCACGTTTTCAGACAAGCCAGGACATCTGGCCTTGCAAGTGTCTGCAGCTCCTAAGCAGCATCCTGATGGGTGGAGATTTTTCCAGCTATGTCCTGAAGACCGTGGTGATACGCCTGCTGAACACCATACCCCTGACATGGTGGAGCAGAAGGGATTTCCGGCAGCGACTGATGGATATCCTGAAGTACCTCCACTGCTCACTGGACACGACACAACTTAACCACTTTGTCATAGGCAACGAGAGGCTTCCTGAGGAGATCAGTTTGCCCTCCGACTTCCGGGTGCCTCAACCACCCAACCTCTTCCAGCACCTGGCCAGCAGTCCGGATGCCCACACCAAGGCCGTGCAGGAGTACGTTCGCCTGCTGCATCGGCTCAAACAACTGCTGGTGCATGGCCAGTGAAAGAGATCCTCACACACAGAGCTGTGCTTCTGGGGCCTCTTGACAAACCCTGTATATATGAACTTCCTGTAGTTAGTGCATTTACAGTATATATTAATACCCTGTAATTAGTGCATTTGCTACACTTACTAATACCCTCTAGTTATTGAATTTACTATATATATTAGGACCCTCTAGTTAATGTTTTTACTATATATATTTACAGGCTCTAGTTATTGAATTTACTATATATGTTAAGACCCTCTAGTTAGTGCTCTTACTATATATATTAACACACTCTAGTTAGAGAATTTACTATATATATTAGGACAGTCTAGGTAGTGCTTTTACTCTATATATTAATACCATCTAGTTAGTGCATTCAGCAATCCCGAATCCTCTTTGTTATTGTTTCAATAAACTGGAAAATTCCAGTATCTCGATGGTGCAAGCTCTCCTTTAGCTTGACCAGACCTAGAGCATTTGTAAATTCCACTGGTTGTGAATTTATGACTGGCTGGGAGTAGGCACTGTTTTAGCAAGCCTTCTTTAACAAACACACACAATTCTCACTCCCTACTGCTTACAGCCTGTCATTGCACAGGCTCTCCATGTCTCCCTTGCATACAAGCTCAAGTTTACTTTGCATAGCTGCCTTTTCTGCCTCAAGCTGGGGAGACGGATACCATATCCAGGTCCTATGACAAGTGTGGTAACTCAGACTGTGAAATTTTTGATGTTCTGGGTACAAATAACACAGCATGGGCAAGACCAGAACATAGAGAGATAAAGCGAAAACATTTATTTTTCCAGAGCATAAACTAAACCCTTACAGCATATACTCCTTTTAATCATAGAAGCAAGGTAATATATTCTATATTCATCTCAAGATGACAAAGTGCTAGAGATGAAGATCCTCCTTTGTAGAGCATCAATCATCCTCTCTAGAAAGGTGAGGAGAATCATAGGCAGCATCTGCCAAGTTGATCCTTGTCTCATGTCAGCAGAGAATTGGTCACTAAAGCACTCCCTAAAAGCAAAAAAGTCAATAAATAGCAAAACTCTAAACCCTAAATATGTTGTCACAACTAAGTGGAATTTGTATCTGAAGCCTCTCAAACTCATGACTTCCTGTGAATAGCGAAAGAAGGGAAATTTTTTAAGCAGTCTTCAAATCATGCAATACACTGTTTAATAATTTCCAGGATTTTCAAAGAGGTTGGATCATGATACAATCTTGCTGGTCACAACATCAGTTGTGGTCATGCAGTTACTTAAATGCCTCGAGGAAAACAACTGCAGCTTTGTTAGTGATTGCTGGGCTTGAACTCCACAAACCTCCTGAAGATAGGTTACTTATGGTATAGATAAAAGTATCCCCTTCTCTCTTATTTTTTCATTGGTTGTCCTCCCTGATGCTTCAGCAAGCTCTCCCTCTCCTGTTACTGCACTCAGGAAGCTTGCACAGCACTCACAGGAAATTCCTCTCTATTATTTGGCACCCTGCAGACCATATACACTGTAACTCATCTTCTCAGTGAAATACACAGACTTCACCTCCTCCATCTATTTTCATAGGGAAATCTTGCCATTCTCTATATTGTTCTTATTACCTGTTTTGAAGGCATTCTTTGTTTCGTGGATATATTTTGATGGGTAGCCAGATCTGAGGGCTGCATCCTGGGAGAAGATGAGGTATTTTTCCAGTGACAACTGTATTCTTCGCCTTCCCAGGGGCAGTGGCTGTGTTTTCTGCTAGTTAATATTAAAAAAAAAAAAAAACTTTCAGAATGTGATTTTCTTTCTGGTTCCCAATTCCTGGCTTCCCAGGCCAAGAGGGAGTTTTCTCTACCAGATATAGGGAGAAGCCTGGGAGCAGCTAAGATGGGGCCACAAGAAAAAGGGACTTCAGAGCCAGGAGAAGCAGTACCACATCCCCTCCTTGCTTGCTGCAGCTCCTCCAGAGATGCCACAGCCCTGGGACATTGGCCAAAATTGCACTTACCTTGCAGAGACTGGCAAACTCCACACATTGCCTGACCTAATGGAGAACATCCGCAGCTCCACCTGCCAAAAAGCAACGTGCAAGTTTTTGGCTGTTGGTATGAGCCCTCCACTTCTGGAACCAAATTCTGTAGCCTGAGTACCACAAACCATCATGAGACTCCTTGTGTCTAAAGAGAAGGGGGTTAAATCATTGCTAACAACAGAAACACACTTTCATCCTCCCCACTAACCATTTTGAGGACAAATAAATGCAACTACTCCCAGAAAAGCTGCAATTAACTATTTCTGAAACTATTTCCCTTCTTTATGTATCAACAGGAAAAAAGTTTTCTCTCCTTGATATGGTAAGTTGACCACCCTAATTTGTAATTTTACAGAAAGGCATATCTTAGAATAAAACTTCAGTGTCTCATACTGTGCTAGATTTGTGTAGAAATAAATTTTCAAAAGAACTTTTTTGTGCTTTTCTTTCATAATGGGTGGGATTTTTCTTTAGTACTTCAAGTAGCTGGGGAGAAGAAAACCCTATCCCTCTTATCCCTCAGAGCCCATGAATCCCATCCAAAAAGGGTAAATATAAAACCATTAGAAAAAAAGATCAATTTTCTAACATGCTTTATTACTTATAGGGACAGACCAGTTATCTTTTCTTTGAATTTATTAGGGGATTGATTAAACATAGCATGTATTAGACATTATGTCTCTGTCTTTCTTACCACTCTTCTAGAGAAGCTAACAACTGTAATACACATGTATTCTGTTCTGATCATTCTTGGACAACATATCAAAAAATAGGTTCTCAGGGAGAACCTAAAAGTTCAGAGAATCATTTCCTAACATTCCAGTTATTACCAGGGCTTGCAAAACCTCACTATAACACCCATCCAGAAGGCAGGCTGAGAGCCTGCCATCAGCCTTACTCTTGCTCTGATTCAATGCTGCTTTGATATTTTGCAAAAGGTTGAACTGAAAGAAACTAAAATTGCTTTTCTGCTTGCTGAAGATGTATAAACAGAGCATTGTCATAGTAAACTACGGATGAGAAATGGCTGCATTCTTATCTCACAGACCATTAATCCAGAATATATCTCCATCTTCCTGAAGTGCAAGAATGTACTTTAAAACAGAGCAAGAAGAAAAAACATAGGCAACCAGGAATATTATAAAATGCTCTACTTTAAAAAGGAGCATCTTAATCCAGCTCTGGTTCCAGGACAGAACAGACTTATTGGCCCAAATGAAATGCAGCATCAAAGCAGCAGGTGAGATTCCACTGTGGCATTCAGCAGAAGCAGCTGAAGCAGCATGGGCTGGGAAATACAGGCTGGGTGAGGAAATACAAGCTGATGACTGTCTTGATACATACCACCTTGCCCAAATGAAAGGCTCATTAACCCCAACAAGAAATAACAGAAGTTTGTTAATTTACTCAAAATGCATGCACCAGAGAAGTGGCTTGAGAAGTGTTTGCTTGTTTGATTTTCATTCAAGAAAGGATGACACAAGTACAGACAATTGTTATAGCTGATAACTACTAATGTTGATTTGTGCAAAGATGTAAACCTCCCGGCTCCAGGGAAAAGTCTTTGCTCTCAGCTCTTGCTACTGGTCAGAGCTGGAGGGTCTCATCGTGCTCACAGTGCCTTGGCCCTGTGAAACTGGGTCCTTCCCAGGCAGCTACACCTAGTGCCACACCTCTCCAAACCCAGTCCCTGCAGTGCAGATGCACGTAGGTACACTGGCTACTCTCTTGTCCTATTCGAGGCCTGCAAAATCATGATGCAAGCACTCATAAATACTTAATAATAGTACTAAAAACTGCTCTAACAGGCACAATATTGAACAACAATATTGAAGATAACATCTCTCCAAAACTGGAACTGTACAGAAAAAGGTAAGTAAATGTCTCTGACTAAAATCCCCTTGGCCTGGTGATAGAATTTTCTATGGGGGATGTGCTGAGCAAGCTTTTAAATGTCCAACTTATGCAAGGAGAGCTTGGTGCCAAAGAGTACTGTGTGGAACACTGGGGACACCAGTGATTTTGGCCATCTCGGTTAAAAGCAGAACTGATAATTTAAACAGTCCTGTATTTTCTTTTAACTTGGTTTTAATAGCTAAAGCCCTTCAGAACCTAATTAATGTTTATATATCCACTCTTGTGAACAAATTAATCAGTTCCTCAGAAAGACCATTAAGTTTTTTGCCTCTGTGCATTGTAACCAATTATGAATCCAATATTCACAGCTATTAGCTTCACCTAGAAATTCAGAAGTTGCCTATATGTTAATTGCAATTTAATAAAGAATTAACAAAAGATAGACAAATTAATTCAGATGGAATAAGAAATTAATTTTGATGAAATATTAAAAATAGCACAATTAGAAGTAGGAATGTCTAAGTTTCTCTCTTCTTTAAGTAGTTTACACTTCATTCATACTGATTTCTTATATCCATTTTATTCCACAGAAAAGTCCCCATGATTCCAAAGTACAGATGGATTGTGCTTTTAACTGTACACTGCACAATTTGTGTGTCATAGACAACATACAGCATAGCAGTTCTTGCTCTATGTTTGGGGATTCTGTGGTCTCCAGGAATCCAAGCTACTAATAATAACAACTGAAGCACTGAATCACAGAAAAATGGGAAAAAATTCAAAAGATTTTGGAGTATCTATCTCAAATAAGAGATGGAAATGTGCAAGGAAGAGTGTGCACAGAGCTGCCTTTCATTTATTTCTTAAACTGAAGTCTCAATGCATAATGTGTGATGTCATAAAAAGCCCTACTTCGAATATTTCTTTCTCTGTGGAGATTTCCTGGTAACATATCACAATGCCAACACTGCAGGCCAGATGCTCTGTTTCCGTATTCTACCTTTGCAATGAATTAATCTATGTTTGCTTCCAGTTTAGAGTCACATTTCATGTTTTCATTATATTAAAATATAATTAATATGCTCTAAGTTGTGTTTTTAAGGGGTGTAACTGACTAATCAGAACTTATAGAAGA